AAAGAACTTTTAGTGGCTCTAAAATGGAAATGCGCTCCCGGGTAGGGTTGGCCAATTATGGGGTTTTTTAGGCAAGTCTTTGGAAGCCTCTGGAGGGATAATATGATATCATTTCTAATTGTATTGAGGGCTTTCCGAAACGGGCTCATGTAGACTATTTTTGTAGCTTTACAGTAACGTCGCTCAATGTGGCTCGTTGAAGTACTTGCTCAGTAATTATTCTGCAGTTGTCAAGTTGTTAGATATTGGTTTATATTCTGACCTATAAAGATATCCAGGTAACGTACTGGGCAGAATGAAAATACCCCTCTACACCTCCTCCTCTTCCTCTTATACGTTCTCCTCTTAGTCCTTTTACTTTAGCTATTCTTTAGTTTTTTCATTTCCTTTCTCATTCTTCATCATATTCACCAGTTCTCTTATATGTCCCCCACGCTTGGGTTCTTTCATTTTTAATTTTCTCCCAGCTTTTTTTCATAATATCATTCGCTTTCATCTGCTTCTCTCTCTTCAGGAATCCCTTTCTTCTACCTCGAAATATTTCACGCTGTTTACTTAAGATGACTTCACAAAAATTGCTCAAGACGCAACTATTTAACGTACCCTTCCTGTAACCCTTCCCTTTACAATCCGCCTCTATTCCAAACTCGCCTTTGGTTCTTTGCAACTTGTGACACTACTTATTTCAGAACCAGAGTTTGCACTAAGTTGTCACTTTTCTTTCTGTTCCGAACCTAATCTACCTGCTGATGTGGGTTCTGTGGTTGGACGAAATACTTTAGCAGTCAGTGAGAATGCACCGTTCTGGAAACACGCGGGTAAATAGCACCCTGGAGGGAAACCCACCAACTCATTTTGGTCCAATTGCTGCTAAGTTTTTTCACTGAATGCGCCAAGGCTTCCGACATATCTCCTGCCCTCCGACGATGAGCTCTTCTAGCCTGCGCCGCCTCCAGTCAGCACAGAACGCTGTCCTCCGCACGATCACGGGTTGCTATAAAATGTCGCCTATAGATCATCTTCAATGCGGAGGCCTCTGTCCTGCCGGTCGCCCATCACAACACCCTCCCAAGCCAGCAGTTCTGGTGGATTTGTTCGCAACCCGGCCATCCCAATCATCACCGTTGCAACGCTCCTGAGCGCAGCCGTAACGTCCAGAAGTCTATTCGAGCTCTCCACAAGGAAGCTGTTGCCTCGTCCCTCTTGGATCTACCCGTTGATAGCTCTGCCACCAAGACAGGCTTCCAGCGTCTCCAC